ATCATTTTATTAAACACAAAATCTTGCGTTATATGTGCATATTAATTTTTTTTACACGCATATAAATTTTAACACTAGAGCCATGCATCTTAAATGTTTAACTTACTCTGCTAAAAATATTCATATTGGCACACAGTGCGGGCCAATCATCTAGTAGTATTTTACAATTTAACCGGTTACTAATTAAAATTAAAAATTAAATTTTTTTTATTTTTATTTGTATGGATCTTTTTGGTGAATAACCAAAAAAAAATTAAAAAATTAGAAAAAATAGGGTATGTGACAAATTGTAAGCCATTAGATTTGAGAATTTTTTGTTAGTTTTCAAATTATAATTTTTTTGTTGTATTTTTGGCAAATTTTCGCGTGTATTTACCCTCCTTTTCTAGTTATATATATATAGCTCATGCTTCGTGGAGTGTTTTGTCTCTAAACAAAGCATATGGGCTAGAAAAGTCAAAGTGATCATTAACGAGCCTTAGCTACATAATTGTATTACCTAAAGCCCAAACCTTTGATCCAAAACGACACCGTATTGTGGTTTCTAGAGCGCCGATTCATATAACCAGAAGAGGTTAAATCTCACTCTCTCTTTCTCTATCTTCTGTTGCCGGTTCTAATGGCAGCCGTCGCAGATTCCGTCGAGAACGGTGGTGTAGACTTCCCTGAGAACGACAACCATGTGACGGCGGAAATCAGTACGACCGCATTGCTCGATGAAAATCCAGGTTCTTTCCCTGAATTGAATCCTCCTGATAGCTTTGCTTCGGATTCGAATGATTCCGCGGCGGAGAGGTGGCCAGGTTGGCCTGGGGATTGCGTGTTTCGTATGATCGTTCCGGTGACTAAGGTCGGAGCTATTATCGGACGGAAAGGAGACTTCATCAAGAAGATGTGCGAGGAGACTCGTGCTCGCATCAAAGTCCTTGATGGTCCCGCTACCACCCCCGATCGCGTCGTTAGTCTCTCTCTCTCTCTACGCGCTCTACTTTGAATTGGGAATTTTTTTCTACTATTTCTAGGGTTTGCAACTTCGTTTTTACATAATTGAAGAGAATTAGGGTTGAATTTTGTCTTAGCATTCAGTTCTTGTGATGCTTTTTCTCGAGAAAATTGTAAAATTCTAGCCGACTGTTTGTTGTGGTGAAGTTGGAGGAAGAAACTTGTTCACTATGTCATTTCTTGCTCTTTGACTATATGGTTACGTTTAGGTTCTAATATCTGGAAAGGAAGAACCAGAGGCCTACATGTCCCCTGCAATGGATGCAGTCGTAAGGGTCTTCAGAAGAGTTTCAGGATTACCCGATAAGGATGATGACGATGTTCAAAACGCTGGAAGTGCCTTCTGTTCAGTGCGTTTATTAGTTGCATCTACGCAGGCGATTAATTTAATTGGAAAACAAGGATCCTTGATCAAATCAATAGTAGAGAACTCTGGTGCATCAGTGCGTATATTATCAGAAGGTAGTATCGTTTGAGTTCTAAAACTTTACCAAATGAGTCTCATTGTCCATCTTTATAGTGATTAGTTAGTTTCTTCTTCAATTCATCCTTGAAAAAATGTGCCTCTGTTGCCTATTTCTGAAATTGTATGCTGTAGTTCGTGTGAGCCTACCAGATAGTAATATGCGAACTGTACTTTTTGCTGCCAGAGGAAACGCCATTTTATGCTGCGCAAGATGAGAGGATAGTGGATTTGCAGGGGGAAGCTTTAAAGATCTTAAAAGCATTAGAAGCAATTGTTGGACACCTAAGGAAATTTCTAGTTGACCATACTGTGGTTCCTCTCTTCGAGAAGCAAGTAAGCCTGGTTCTTTGAAAAAGGCTAGTTCCTTGCATTTCTCTCTAATTTTCTTTTTCTGCTTTCTTAAATTATCTAAACTTTTTTCCTTCTTTTCTTAAGTATTTAGCTAGAGTCTCTCAAGATCGTCAGGAAGAACCGTTAGCTGACAACAAGTCATCTCTCCATACTCTATCGTCAAACGTAATCGAATCTGATTTCTCCCTCTTAGCACGGAGGGAAGCACTGTTTCTGGAGCGCGATTCTCGGGTGGAGTCACGTGTTCAGCCTGCAGGAGTTTCTATCTACAGTCAGGATCCTTTTCTGTCCGCTAGACACTCTCCCGGTCTTGCCCGGGTTTCTGCTGCTTTTGTTACACAGGTAGATTTCGTCAGATATAGCATCATCCCTCAAAATGATTACCTCTGTCACTGTTCTTACTTGTTATAGTCAGTATACTATTGGTGGATTTGATCGTACCATATCTAACCATATAATGAGTTTTCTTAATAGGTATCTCAAACGATGCAAATACCGTTCTCCTATGCGGAAGATATTATTGGTTTAGAAGGAGCTAATATAGCGTACATCCGCCGAAGAAGCGGAGCTACCATAACCATTCAAGAGAGTCCACATCCTGAAGAAGTTACTGTGGAAATCAAAGGCACATCTTCTCAAGTACAGACTGCTCAGCAACTGATTCAAGTAAGAAAACATTTCATCATATATACTGCACAAAATGGCACTGTCCAAATGCTATCATTACACTTCCTTTACATGTTATCGTCTCCTTCGTTCCTCGCCATAAATCCATATTTGTTATTTATGCACTTGTCGTTATTGTGCTTATAGGAGTTCATCAGCAATCACAAGGAACCAGTTCCGGTTTCAGCGGGATATGCTAGAATCGACACTGGCTATGTACCTGCATATCCTCCTCAGCTGAGCAACCGTCAAGAGCCGCTCTCGAGCAGCTACATGGGCGCTGAGACGGTGCAATACAGACCAACAGCATATTCTCAGCTGGCCGGTCCTTCGACGTACACGCCTTCACTGACTGGCCAAACTTATGGTACGGAATATAGACCGGCTTCTGATGTTGGTGGCTACAGCAGTTATAATCTTTGAATGGTTTGCTGCGGTTTAATTCATTTCCAGATTAATTTCTGCTTAGAGACAGGCTCTGTTGTAATAGAGAGAGAAAGAACAAGAACTAGGGAGCCAAAGTAGTTGAATGTGTAATGTAAATCTAGGTGCCTGTATTTTTTTGTTTTGTTTTTTCTATCGAATCTTGATATGTCTTACACGTTGTTTCTGGTCAGTGTCAAATAAGAACAGTTTCATGGGTTTCTTTTAGCCTGTTCGTTTTGATTTTTGTAAGGGAAAGGAAGATTTTTTTCCCACAAATCAGGATATGATTTTACAATTTCAAGAAATTAAAATTTACTTTTAACGACAAATCTTTGAAATTACCTACCTGTTAATGCCGAAGCTTTCGGGAAAACCTTTTTGCAAAAAAGTAAAACAACAAATGACGCTTTGTGTACTATTGACGCTTTGTGTACTAGTGACGCTTTAATGTTTATAGATCTCATTATTTCCTTGCTCTTTTCGTCTGTGAAGGAGTTTTGGTTTCAATGTTCATTGATGCAATAGTGTTAGTGTAACTAGTAAGCATAAGAAAGAAAAGGAAAAGATCAAACAAGAAAAATGATACAATTTTTTAATTTCTGTTATACATGACTAAATCGGTTCTCGGTTCAGTTTAGTTCAGCAAACAAAAACTGATTTGTTTTTACCTTAACTGAAGACTACCCTAATTTACTAAACGTGAACTTCATTTTTGTGAGCCTTCACTTTGTGTACTACTCATATGAGTTTTGATTCTACTTTTTGTCAGAAATTTTTAATAATTTATGAATTTAGTTTTCACAAACTGTTGTTGGTGATTGATTAATTCTCACTTTGATTTTCCTAATTTTAAATCTAGCAAGCCTCTCAATCAATCAACTTTATCTTAGGTAATTTCTTTCACAAATCGAATTTGTGTTTAGTATCACGATAATTAAGTTAATTGAGTTTAATCTAGTTAATGGTGGTATTGTTTGAGTCTAATGACTATGAGTAATTAAAACTGAACAATTTTTTACAGAAGAAATGTACACAAAAACTTTAGGGGCCTATGGAGTGCAGTGGTTCAAGGGAGAGAGAGAGACTATAATTCAACAAGTCGTACGTGCGGAAGAGGTTTTGTCACGTGCGGGACCCGGCTCCACTCCTTGAGTTTGGATACTGAAATTACCGCCTTTATATTAATAAAAATTTCTAGGGTTTACGAATTGGGTGGG